TTTTGATAGTCTCGGTCTCGTCTCGGACTCGACCGCATTTGGTCTCGGTCTTGTCTCGGTCTCGGGCTCTGAGGACTCGGCATTTTATTTCAAGACCAGTCGAGACCGCAACTGTGAAAATATCACTAAACGTACAGCATACTGTCCAGTTTATTTGTTAACATCTTTGTTTTCAGTGGATGCAAAACGCACCGATTAAAATCCAAGCAACTACGTGTTTCTGTTACTCCCCTCTCCCCTCCCCACCTTTCACTCGCACGCGGCGCTCCAGGACATGCGCAGTGGTTTTCTCTCAGCGGGAGAAAATGTTTGTCTAATGTCAGTAATATAATAGCGCTGCATAAATAGTAAGAAATCCGATGGCCACAGCTAACTCAGCAGCGCTTCGCTTTCACAGACGGTGGGACTACGTCTAACTTTTTTCGTCACTTAGAAAAGTAGCTCAAAGAAGGTAAGATCCGTTGATGTGATGTTAGCAAAGCTAGCTGTACAGAGACACATAAGCATTGTGATGAAAAATGTTGTCACTCACTGCGCTGAATTATTGTGCGGAGGTGTAGACTGACTTGTCGCATATATGGGACAACGCTAGTCTGCAATATAGTGAGGTGACATTCAGAAACAGTCGATTCTTCTCCACGGCTCTTTACTTATTAGATAGGACTGGAGTGTCACTCACTGAGAGCCGTTGTTCTATCAGATTACCATACGCTGTCAGAATAGCATACATGCAGTGAGTACCATGCCTGCGCATGCGCATTAAGAAGTCCGACCGTCAGAGGAGTTGTCAGTTCACCATATGCAACAAGTTATGACGAAAATAAGTTATTAAATTGTTTTCAATGATAACTATAGATATACATGTGTTGTCATGGTTTCAAAGTGTATTTAAAGCAGGTCTGGCTGCAGCTGGAATCAGCTACAACACACGCCCGTGTAAAACTCATGAACCTACTTAACCGCTAAGTCAGGATGCCATACAACTATTAATAACAAAGTGTATGATGATCTATGTCATGATTCTATGTTGCTGATTAAATAAAATTATATGGTAATGACGTGTCAGATATAGCCGTGAGTTTGTCATAAGCATATGCTGACCTGACAGAAAACTCTTCTTTGTTCTTGTAATCCCCTGCGTACACTACAGCAGCTATTATTATTTTATTTAATTATGTACATTGATATTTTTTTTAATTAACAAATAAATAAAACACAAGAATGAAAGAGCACGCAGAGCATGCACATTGCTCTTTGATTGTTTTTGTTCAAAGTGGCTGCTGTAATGTGTGCCATGGTGTCAGACTACCCGGCTTCATGTAGCAGGAGAGAGGGTGAGAACAGTCACGGTGAGCGTCTTGTGCTTGGTTACTTCTTGCTTGTTGCTCCTTGGTCAGTGTTCATAGTTGAACATTATTTACCATCAGAGCATTGCCTCAATTGCTATGTTTAATGGTGCAGACAGTGGTGGTTTCTTACATGAGCAATATGGGCAAACGCCCAGGGCGATATCTTTCTAGGGATGGCACTAGACCACTGCGGATCGTAGCACAGAGATAGAAGCAAAGCAGAACAAAGTGTTTGTTCTGCTTTTAATATTGGTTAAATTTATTAAGTATTTAATATCTAGGTCTTTTCATGCGAATATGAATCTTTCAGATCAATTTGAGAAGCAATTTTGATCATATTTCTCATTTTGTTGTGTCATTTAGCGCTGGCCGCTGGTCTTGGTCTTGATTCGGTCTCGAGTTAGGTGGTCTTGACCACAACACTGCTTCCTTGTGATTCCCTGTGAACATAATCTCGTAACCTTTTGTTGTGCCTCCTCTTCAGGAACCTGCTCCGTGTCATGTGGTTCTTCCACTCGAAGCCTCTGTGCTCCTGGTTGTTTTTTCCCTGTGAAACTTCTCCTTGTGACGCCGGCAGATGTTACCCGCCGGATTCCCAGGATTCACTCACCTTCTCGCTGCCTTCTACTTCTCTGGATTTCCACGTTGGCTGAACTCCTTGCTCTGAACCTTGGTGAGCCGCAGAACTTACCTGTCCGCCTTCCAACGCTAAATCACATCTGCAGAACCTCAGTAGAACGTCCCAGTCCAGGTCTCCACCCAGGAACCCACCAGGCTCCCCTCCGTACCGTTTGCTGCTAATCAAAGTAAGAAAGCCGTCAGTAAACGTTCAGTCGACAATATTCAAGTTAAACTACCTTCACATTTTTTAGAGTTCATACAAAAGGTGTATGAAAACACTCATATATTCAAATAAAAATTATCTTAAAAGAGCAGAATGTAAGAAATATGATGAGACAGAAAAACACATGAAAATGTCAGTTTTTAAAAAATAGACGGAATACAGCAGAAATCAACCTGCAGACGCTGATCACAAACATTTATGAATTATTGTTGAGTTATTGCAACACACACACACACACACACACACACACACACACACACACACACACACACACACTGCAGACAGATGAGATAAGAAGCCGCCGGTTGGTTCTGTGGATGTTCAGGTCGACCATCAGCCTCTGACTCATCTTACTGGGGAAACTGGTTGAGTTTTTCTTCTTCAGAAACGTTTTGATCTGATGTTGAGGTTTCATGATGAAACTCAGAGTTTCTGATCATGAGGCTCTTAGCCAACATTCATTTCCAATTAAATAATTCGGCCTGGATTCTTCCTCATTCTGGTCTAAAATTACATCAATATTTATAGCTGCAGGTTTTCTCTCATAATTATGGAAGTTATTATCAGTGATTGCAAACTTCTTTGTCATTACTGAAATAAAACGATTATTTATTGCTGGTTTTTCATTAATTGAACTTCTGATCATTTTCTATAACTTATTTTTGCATCAATCTGTTGAATCTAATCAATCAGCTGCTTTCAAAGGTCCAGAAAGCAGCAGGCCTGGATGAGTTTCTCTGATCTGAGACATTCGTCCTCTGGTCCTGAAATGCTCTGCAGCTGGTAGAAGGCCCACTTTGGATCCGGCTTTATGTGGCTCTGGAGGCTCATCACTTCACCCAGAGTTCATCTCCAGGTTTTGACTGAAAATGTGTTGAGAAAAGTCAGAATCAGATTCTAAACAAAGATAATAAGTCATAATCCGTTGTCCTCCATGTTTCCTCAGATGCAGCCACGGCGGTCCTTCTGAGGAGCCGAGGGAATGTTGGGATAGTTCAAACATGAAGCCACCAGGAACCTGTTATCTTCCAGAACTGCAACCTACCTGCAGTTCCCAGAAGTATAAGATGTTCAGAGACATGGCCAAGGTAGGAAGGCTGATAATGTCTGAGCAGATGAGCTGAAATCTTGTCTGTATAGCACATTTCAGCAGCAAGGCATTTCAAAGTGGTTTATACCATTAAACACAGTCATGTAACATTGAATCAACAATCAAAACCTTTAAATTTCCTGCCGAATCAAAGTAAAAAAACAAAACAAAGAGGAGCAGGAGGGGGCGGGGCATCAGGACTGGATGAGACAGATCTGTCAAAGGTTTTATGGACTGATGAGATGAGACCAGATGGATGGACGGCCTGCAGGGTGGAGGCAGGTACTGGTACGGACTGGTATTATTAAAGATGAGCTTATTGGACCTTTTTGGGATGAAGGTGGACTCAAAATCAACTCCAAACCTACAACCAGTTTTTAGAAACACTTTCTTCAAGCAGTGGTTCAGGAAAAAGTCTCCATGGTTTTCATGCAGGACGATTCTACGTAACATTGATCATAGTACAAAATATACAGTACATAGTATATAATAGATAGTACATAGTATATAGTACATAGTTGATTAAACTGGAGATTTATGGAAAACAGTTAAAGTGTCTGAACAGGTCAGCTGCAGATCCATGAGATGAAGGTTTATAACTGTTACTGAAAAGAAGGTGGCGATCCTGGTCAGTGATTTATTAAATGTCAGAAATGTTTATTTGTCCATTATTAGTTCTATATTTATTATTCTCATTATAACAGATGACAAAGTGAGACGGGAACATTTTCAGTTTTTATTCAGTTGCACAGTAATTTTGCAAACTAGTAGATTCTCAATAATCACACACAGATATTGTTCTAGACAAAATCTCACTTTTACTATATTAAATATTCAGGTTTGACAGGTTATTACAGAGAGCGAAGTGGTTGTTCAACAATAAAATGAATCCTCCAAACTACAACTTGTGTAATAATTGTTTACACAGAGAATAACCTCAGATCAGATTATGACCTCAGGCGTTGCTGAAAGCTCTGATGTTTCATCACATGGAGATGTTTGTAGATGTGAATCTTGGTTTTTCACCATGAGATGCAGATTTCTCTACCAGCTGCCAGGTTCTGATGACACGACTCTGATGTTTATCTCCCAGCGTTTCTGTTAGAACCAGAACATCAGCAGAAGATAGAAATGAACTGAGATCCTGGAGAAAGTAAATAATCAGGAAAGATTGCAGAGATCTGCAGCTGTTATAGTTTAGTTATGAACAACTGAGATAATTTTATTAGATTCAGGATCTTTGAACCTCCTGCAGCATCTTTTAAAGCCCCGCCCCCAATGGGCGGATCCAGTCTGATATAAAGTGGAGTCAACGCAGAGAGGGTCAGTCGCTTCATCTTCTTCACCACCATCATCATCATCATCATCATCATCGGTTCCAGTCAGACTCTCATCTGGACTCTCCAGTTTCCAGGTCAGTTAAAGTTAATAAAAAGCTCTGAAGGTTTTTACATGACAACATTCATCAGGTCAACACTTCCTGTTTCTTCTTCTTGCAGCATGATGGCAGGATGGAGGCAGACATGGAGGCCTCTGCAGCTTCTGGTCATCTTCAGCCTCCTCATCCTCACCAACCAGACCGGTATGAGACATTAGAACAGGATGACCTCTGACCTCATGATCTGCAGCAGATGGCTGATGGAGCCTCTAACCTGTGTTCATGTTTCAGAGATGAGAGGAGAAGCTGAGGAGAAGCTGAACCTCAGAGGAACGTCGCAGGAAGAGCTGCACATCTCCTCACCAAGGTAGGAGGAGCTAACGCTAGCTAACATTCAGTCAGGTAGGAGGAGCTAACGCTAGCTAACATCATTCATCAGGTAGGAGGAGCTAATGCTAGCTAACATTCAGTCAGGTA